CAGCTAGTTTTTGTATTTTTTGTAGAGATAGGGTCTCACTATATGGCCCAGGTTTGTCTCGAACTCCTAGGACGAAGCAATTTACCTGCCTTGGCCTCCCAAAGTGTTGGGATTACAGGTATGAGCAACCATACTTGGCCTTTCTTTTCTTTTCTTTACTGGTCTCAGAAACTTAAAAAAAAAAAAAGAAAAGATTAAAAACAAGTAACAGTAGCATTCCTTCTTTTCTACTCCAACCCTTTTTCGCCATCATTGCTACCGTCCTTCCTGTATCGTGGCCAAGTACGTTAACACCTGATCTCCTAGCTGTTTAATTTCCATGGCAGAGGAGAGCCCCTGTCCCTGCACTGTCCCCAGCGTCATGTAGGCCCCCTGCTAGGGACCTCTCCATTGTTCTCTTTTGGCACGGTTGCTAAATGGTTTGCTCAGCAACGAAAGCATTTTCTGTACAGCTGAAGAAGATCCCAAATTTGGAATTTAAAAATTGGGGCGAGGTGAGCAGCTCTCTCTTTTAAAATGGGGCCTGTCTCACATGCTCTTTTGGGTGGCAGGCGCCACTTTGTGTCCAACCCAAACTCTAGCTTTGTGGGATGCTGCCTTGTTTAAGGCTTAAAGGCACAGGGTGCCTCATAAGCTGCACCTTGTGTCAAATGTGGGAATATTCAGCATGGGCCAGAAGGGGGCTCTGGGCTGGCCCATTGGCTCTGATTGTGTGTGGGTGAGGGAGAGACCAAAGACTAAGCCCCATCTCACGCTGCCAGCCTGAGGAATTCAGAGAGGCACAGAGAGCTTGGCATTTACTCCAAAGCGCACATCTCCCCAGTTGCCAGCCAGCAGAGATGTGGCATGTTGATTTCCTGTATTCACTTTTCTTCTTCCCCTCTGAGAATGCTGTACTTGCTTCGCTTTTCTTGTTAAAAAAGAAAAAAAAAAAAGGAAAGTGAAGTCAGGCTGCCTTGTTCACATCATCAGAGCCCCTGAAGGGCAGCCTGCACCTGCCAGCTTGCCCCAAACCTAAGGAGTTGAGGCAGCCATCGCCACTGGCCTTCTCACCTCTCGCCTTTCCTCCATCCTGATGCCAGTGCCAGGCCCAGCCTCCTAGGGCACCGGTTAATCATGGGCCACACTGTCTGGGACACTGCAGGATGCAGCCCAGACTTTTCATGAGCCATTCAAGGCTTCACAGGGTAGCTCACTTTGACCTCCAAGAACCTTCTCCTGCTTCAGTCAGGCCTGTCTCCACGTTGCCTCCGAAAGGTACCACACTCACATCTTCCTAGGGAGACTGCCTACTTCAGGGAGCCCTTCTGCAAGGGGAGGCCAAGGGCAGCTTGGTGCTCATCCTGCCATGGTCTGTGCTCTGTGCATCACTCTGCTTTCGGCTTCTCTAGCTGCAGTCGTGAGTGGGGGTAGCAGGTGGGTTGCTTCAGCTAGATCCCAAGCTCCTTGAGATCTATGCTTTGTCTCACTCAGCTTTGTGTCTTCTGTGGGTCCTTGTTCTGCATCCTCCCATCTTGAACAAGCCAGCACCAATGGATGGTTTGCTCTTGGCGAGAGAGGGAGGAGGAGGGATGTGTTCCTAGAGCTGCCTTCCTGGGGCTGCTTTACCACCTTCATCCTAAGAGAGGACTAGATTATGCTGCCTCTCCCCGCACCAGCTTCCTTCTTCCAGCCCTATGTCAGGTAACTCAAGGACATCTGGGTGATGGCTCGCCTTTCTCATTAGCAGTCCAGGGGCACTGCCCCTTACTCAGGGTCCTTTTATCTAATGACCTCACACCAGGACATGGCATTTCACGTTCCTCATTGTGCTTTAAAAGTCTGTTAGCCTGGAAGATTCTCAAGGGCAGAAACTATGTTTAGAGTCCAAGAGAGTGTGGAGCATGGGATGTGAAATCAGTTTTCTTTTCTGTAAAATTGGGGGGGTGGTTAATAGCCTATACCTATCTTATAGGGTTGTCATGAAGAGTGAGTGAGTGACTTTGTGGGAAGCTTGGTCCCTGGGGGATAGAAGGACTTATACATCAAAGTTGCTTTTATGATTCTGATGACTAAGTTGGGTGCCCTGATAGGACTTCACTGCAGCTTTGCTCAGGGACTGACAGGTGTGACTTCAGTGCCCTTTTGACAAGTGTGACCAGAGGGAGCAGAAAAGCTTCATTCAGCCTCCTCTTCCTCTCTTACCTGCCTGTTGTTTCCCCCCTACCTGCTGGGGATTCCTCCCCCCCCCCCCCGCCACCAACTCCAAGACCCTCGAACTTCTGAGGAAGTGGCCTAGTGGCACAAATTCATTTATAATCAGAATTGAAGGTGGACAGATCCAGGGACAATGAGGAAACTATTCTGCCTGGACAGGGTGTGAGCTGAGGAGAAGAGATGTAAAAGGGTTAGGAAGTAGAGGGGGCCAGCCTGGGAGGGCCGTCCATGACACCAGGTCCCCACCTGAGTCTGGTAAGATCAGCCCCTCTGATTTGTTCAGTCTCACGTCCTCAGACTTTTCTCACATCCACCAGCTCACTTTATGCTTGTAGCACCTCCAGGGGGTAGGCTCTTTTAATCCCCATGTTAAAGAAGAGGAAATGGGAGCTCAGAAAGGCAAACTGCCTTGCTCTTGATCACACAGCTAAAAAGGGTTCCAAGTGAAAAACAGGTCTCTTGACTCCCAGTCCAGCTGGTAAATGATCTATCCCTGCATCAAAGAAGTAATATTGTGAGCCATCGGCCCCGCAGGAGTGGCCAGGTGAGGCTGCAGAGGACAAAAGGCATTAGCCATGCCAGTCAGGCGGCCCTGGTGCTACTTACATCAGGAGGCGACTAGACATCTGCCCCTTCATCTGCAGACTGCATCGGTGGGACTGCTGTGCCAAACCCAGAGAGAGTAGCTGCTGGTGGCCATAATACACACTAGGTTTTATTGCTGGGCTCCCCATCTGAATTGGGAAGGGGCTCTGCAGGTTCCTTTCAAGTAGGGGAGCTGTACTCAGAATGGGAGAGCTCTCAGCTCTAGGAGGCGAGCCTGCCGGGGAGCCAGTGAGGCTGCAGGCTCACTAGCACAGGTCACCACCAGCATAGGTCATCACAACAGCTCTGTGATGAGGGTCTGGAAGTCCCACTGGCTGGAATTAATGTTCCCCTCACACTATGGCCATGCCTGTTGTGGTAGCTGTGTCTGCCCATCTGTGCTGCCTTGGTGATTAATGCTCTCCTGTCTTCCTAACTGGATTGTGGCTGCCTGAAGGGCAGGGAGCCCCACTTCTCCTATCTGTTTCTTCAAGGGCCTGGCCCAGGGCTTAGCACATAGCTCTAGCTGTGACATAAATGCCTGCTGGGATCCAGAGAGGACTTTTCACACCCACGACCCCAGGTAGGGCATGAGTTCTTCCATCCAGTCATCCCTGTTGAGCGCCCCCCAGAGGCCAAGCCCAGTGTTAAGGGCTGGAGTTACAGAATCTGGAAAAATGTGGCTCCTGCCCTCCGGAGCTCTCAGCACTCTCTTCCTGAGCGACTGGAAGGGTAGCAGAAAAGGGAGGTGGGCTTCCCACCCGCAAGTCTTCTAATCATCATTTGCAAAGTGTGGTGCTCTGGTCGGCAATGCAGACATCTGCACCAGCCCAAGGGAGGCCGCCCAGTTTCAGGGTTCTACGGTAGGATGTTCCCAAGACCCGAGCGAAAGCATTCCTCCCGCTGTTTCTTTGACCTTAAGGGGAGAGCACCCAGACAGTGGCCAGGGGCACCCCTACATCACTGTTGGAACAGGCCGGGTGAGGAAGGGCAAGGCAGGACCCCGCTTTGTCCACCTGCCTCTGTCAGCCTGGCCCGGGTTCCAGCCGATGCAGCGTCCCAACCAAGAACGCGGGGGCAGGGGTTCGCGCAGCTGCAGGAGCCTGGCCGAGCCTCGAGTGTGCGCGCCCGTGCGTGCGCGCCGAGGGGGCGGGGAGGGCGGCGCGCACCCTGCTAAGGCCCCCAGCGCTTTCCGATACCTCGCGCCTCTCCTGCGGTCCCTTCTCCCTGTGCACCCTAGCCGGACCCACGTGTGTAAAGGCATGGGGTGTGTGTGTGAGTGAGTGTGTGTAGGTCTATCTGGGAGGCCGCATGCCCTGGCCGGACAGGCTCCCACGTGCTTAGGGGGCGGCGGCCAGCTCGACAGTGGCAGCGCTTCTGTCCCGCTCCAGTCTTTCTCCCCAGACCTTTTCTCTGGCTTGCTCTGGCCTTGGGTACCTTCAGCCATCCTCCTCCTCTCGCCGTTCCCTTGCTCGGGTAAAAGAGACCAGCGCTTTCCGTTGAAGGTTCTGGTTCACCCCCCAGCTGCAGAGCCCTTGACATTTAGCGAGGGCTCCGGGGCACTTGTTTAGGCACATAGCAGAACGCTAATCCCATTAAAGATAGTGTGTCATTGGGGAGGGGGTGGCTCCCCAGCGGGGCCGGAAAGGCCTCGCGCCCATTGGTCGAATGCAAAGCAGGGGGCGGGGCCGAGGGCCCGGGGAGGGGGCTCCAGGCAATTTCAGAGTCGAGTGTCGGGGCCGGGCCGGGATTTCGCAGGGAAAGCCCAGCGGTTGCAGCTGCGGCGGATCCCTCCGCACTGCCTGCCGTGCTCCGGGGCAGCCCAAGGCCGGTGGCAGCTCCGCCAAGTCGCAGAACGAGAGGAGGCGGAGCGCCGGCCAAGTGGTGGGGGCTCAGTGCTGTGGCTGGGCTGGGCTGGGAGAGGTGTGCCTGGGTGCCTGGATCCCGGTGCCCTTCTGCCTCGTGTGGAACGCCCGGAGGCGAGCTGACGCACTGGACAGAGAAATCAAATTGCAGCCTCCCCAAACACGCCGAGTTACGAGGGCGAGCCGGTTCCCGGGGATCGTTCGCTAGCGCGCAGAGAGCCGCGCCGCGCCGCGCCGCAGAGCCCTCCTGGGCCAGCCGGCCAGGAGCGGGGCGCCGTCTGAGGCAGCGGCCCCTGGGCGCGGGGTTCGGCAGTGAGTGCGCCCCGGTGCAGAGAGGGGGCGTGCAAGGCTCCGCCGGCCCGCCTGCAGCCCGCGCCCGACTTGGGCGCCCCCTCCGTCCCATTCTGGGAGCGATGCCCCCCGCCCCTCGCGCCCCCCGGGAACGCCGCGAGCATGGAGAAGTCGAGTAGCGAGGATTCTTCGATCCACCGGAGTCCATCTTTGGACAGCAAGGACTCGGACTTTGCCAAGCCGTCCACCTCCGGCCGCCCATTCGGACGCGGCTTCACGGCCGGCGCCTTCTACGGCACGGCGGGCTCCCGGGGCCAGAGCCGCGCCGAGGCCGGCGTTAAGACTGACAAGTACAATGCACCCAAAGGCAGCAAGTATGTGGTGTTTTACCTGGACCTGTCCTTTGTGTTCCTCCTAGAATTTAAGAAGTGCAACATGGCCAGGGGCTGCCTCTGCTGCTTGAAGTACATGATGTTCCTCTTCAATTTGATATTCTGGGTAAGTCCTTCCATTTCTCTCTCCCTTTGCCTTCTTCCCCCTCCTCTTTGCTTACCGTAGCGCGAAAACCCTCTCCCTCCTCGGTGCTGCATTGCTCTGCTCTCTGCACAGTGGTAAGTGTGCTTTTTAAAAAATTGCCCCCGCCCCCCTTTCATGCACCTTTCTCTTCCTTTCTCCCTCTCTTTGGTGGCTGAATGGGGGCTCCGGCTTGCCTGTCTTCCAGGAGAGATTTGCTCGACTCCTAGGAGGCTTGCAAAGTTTGGCACCACCTCCTTCCCCTACAAGAAAACCCGTGCTGGAAGTGCCTCCCACTGGGCAGCCTGCAGTAATGGCTGTGGGTCAGATTTTTTAACAGCTGGGAGACTGAGTTGGAAATAGGCACAGTGAGAATGTCTTTCTGAGTTTCTTCTTGTATTCCTCCTGAATGCGCAAAGAATACAATCTGCAGCATTTTATGGGAGTGGGTTGGAGGGGGGCGGGGTATAGCAGCCACATCGTCTCACTCCTTTCAGTGAATCCCAGGAAAACGAGGAGAAGCCCCTGTCCCAAGCCGATGGACCTGTTTGCTAGCCCTCAGATATGCCTCCGGCTTGGGGTCTGGGTGGGAAAGGAGGGGGCATGCTGCTATCGGGTGGCTGCCTGCTGCTTTTGAGGGACTGCAGTGGACTGGGCAGGGAGCTGGCCAGCCACGTGCTCCCAGGTTCTGGGAGCCCCAGTGACCGGAAGGGACAAAGGGAGATAAGCAGGGTGCCCCTGTCCTTGGTGAGAGGCACTTTTCTGGAGAAGGTATGAATGGGTAGGGCAGCTGGGAATTGTTCTCTGTCCTCCGTGTGACTCTGGAGGCTGTGCGCACATACCTGCATGTGCATAAGAAATACTAGTTAGGAAAATTTGAAAACTTCCTAAATTCATCTTGAATTGTTCCTTTATCCCAACTGCCATCTCTGCCTTTCTTCACCCAAGTCCTGACATAGCACAGATGTTTGACTCTGCCCCAGACTCTGTCCTGCCCACTGGAGGCTGTCAGCTGCCAGCGGTCCAGGAGCAGCATTGGGGGCAGGAGAAAGTCATTCAGAGTGAAGTTGGGAAGAAACAGTCGTGCTGAAGAGGCGTTCAGCTTTTGTGTGGAGTGGTCCACATGAGCTGAAAAACTTTTTAGAGTGGGGGTGTGCTTGGAGGGGGTAACTGTCCCCATAGGGCTGGGAGGAAAGAAGACTGGGCTCTAGTCTTGGTTCTGCATTAGCTTCTTGTGTGACCTTGGGCCAATCACTTGGTCCTGGAAGTACTGGCCTTCCTTTCCAGTCCAACAGGGCTGTCATGATGATCTCCCTCACTGTCCTCACCTCACTAGTTACATGCCATCTGGGGTGTGGGGCAGCCATCCTCATCTTCTCTCTTGGGGAGAGAAGTCCCCTCCCGCACCTGGGGCTTGGGTTTCTTTTCCAAGGAGACTCGTCTGAGATGACTTGAGTTGGATTCCCCCAGTTGTCACTATGGGCTGGGCCCTCCAGCCACCCCATTAGGCTGTAACCTGTCATATGCCTAGAGTTTTATGGAAGCTGGGGCAGATAGTCTCATTTCTTTTTCTGGTGGTGAGCACCCCTGGAATGTCTCTGGGTGCCTTGTGGGCAAGTGCCTCCCGGTCCTGTGACCCATCTGCCAGCATCTGTCAGCCAAGTACTGGTGTGTGCCTCTCCGATGCCTTTGGACTCACACGAATCTGTCCTTTTCATTGTTCACAGCTGCTTCTGTCTCTGCTCTTTTTTGTAGTCTCAACTTAACCTTTCTGTTTCACCCCATCCTGCCTATATTAAGCCTTATTAGGAAGACCCTGGGGCCTGTAACCTCACTCAGCGGCTCTCTCTCCTCCCCACCCCCACCCTGCCACCTGCTGGCTGGAGTTGGTATAACTGCCTGAGGTGCCTTTCTTCTCCAGGATGAGCCCAATGTGGTTTGGGGACCTCCTTATGAGCTAGTACAGTGATCGGTACCCTGCACATAGTAGGCCCTCGTTATATGTTTGTGAGTGAATGCATGAAGGGCCAGAGCTGTAAATCCATGTGTTGTTATGTGGTGGTGATTCCCGAGTTCCACTTGATGGGGAAGAGAAGTTAGATCTCACACTTGCCTCTGATAAAGGCTCTCCTAGCACCGCAGCTATGGAATGACAAGCGATTCTTCCCATCTACCCTTAAAAGCTTGGCAGAGGTTAATGAGCTCGTTGGTGAAATATTTTTTCCTTATGGTTGATAGTGAGAGAACTTGCTGTCTCTTCCTAATTAGAAGGTACAGATTACACTTTCTTACCAGGCAAGGAGTTGTTCTCGCCTGCGTTCAGACTTTTCTGATTACTTAATATTTTCAGAATTCCCATGACATGCCATCAGCTGGAAAAAATAGAATCTCAAAGATCCACTTCTTATATGCCAGTAGCAAATGAGATGATGAAATAAGACATAGACCTTAGGTAAGATGGGGAATTTAGCAGAAGAGAAGTGCATGCTTATGTGTAAGCGTGTTTGCCACGATGTTTTTTGGGAGGCGGAGGAGCAGGTGCAGCAGAGTGTCAGCCAGGATTTGGGGGTGGTAGGCATTGTGCTCCACTCAGATGAAGACTTCCTGCAGGCTGGTGCTTGACCTGATACTGGGGAAGGAGCAGAGGATGGAGCTGAATGGGAAGGGAAAACCTCAAAGGCAGGTGGGGTGTTGATGAGTCAGGGTCCCTGGGAGGCCTCCGCTGCTGTCTTGTGCAGGGGGCCAGGGGGAGCATGCAGGGGTGGGTCAAGCCCAGCCCTTTGGGACTGGGAGCAATTGTTAGGAATTCTGTAGCATTAACTTAGAATCTCGTGGCTCAGATCCAAAAAGGAGGCTTTTCTGAAGCATTAGAGTTGAACCTGAGGCTTGTAATCAATAGACAGAGCTCTTTCCATAGATCCCGGAGCCTACCTGGTATTTCTCCAAACTCACCGAAGCTGCCACACCCCCCTGCCTCTGAGCGCTTGGGAGGATTCCACGTGGAGGAGAGGTGCAGCTGTTGTATGCTACAACCCCTCCTGGGCCTGCTTGGTTCCTTACCACTGGGTGGAGCTTCTAGGGTACTAGTATTGGGGAGGGCTGGGTGACATCACTGGGGGCAGGCTGGGAGGTGGAGCCATGCAGCCCATGGTCCTCCTCCTTATTAAGAAAAGGGCAGGTGCCTTACGGACTGCTGGGCGCCTGCCTGCTGGTGGGGGCCCAGGTCTGCTCCTGACACTGTGACTTCAACCAGACAGTGCTAGTCCTGTTGGCAGCCCAGTGCACTGTGGGAATCTGGGGCCTCCAGGAGAGCAGCAAGGTGAGGGTAGAGGAGAGGGAGTCCATGGTCACTTCTGACTGAGTCCCCTCTCCTGTTTGTCTTCTGCATCTCCTGCCCCGACTCAGGGCAAAAGGCAATGCTGGCTTCTTAGTGGATAGGGAATAGGAGGCTTGAATTGGGACAAAAGTTTCTCCATACTGAGGGTCCTGTTCCCTAATAAGCACACCCACCCAGGAGATGGTTCTCCTGGCAGTGGACACCATCTGGGCATTTTCCTCAAACAGCCCCATGCCAGGGTCCTCCCAGGGCCATATGGTAGAATACTCCAAGTAGAGATTAAATGATTCTAAGCCCCTCCCAGAGGGCAAAGGAGGCTCAGAGCTTCAAACTGTGAGTAGAGAAGAGAGTATAGGGGTGGGCTGGAAAAGGGACCTCTGAATGCTGGGGTCAAGTGTCCCCTTCCTGGGTCAGCAAGTCCTGACCCTGCCCAGCTCTTCCCAACCCAAATCAAGTTCCTGTCTTGGAGGGGTTGGGGCGGGGCTGGGGCCGCTGGCATAATTGCTACTCAGGATAATGGTCACTTCTCATTCTTGCCAGCAGAGCTGCCGCATCACTTTAAATTATGGCTGGCAGAGCAGTGACATTCTGGCCCATTGGAAAGCCTATTCCTTGTGGATCGCTCCCTTAATGAAGGCTAATTAGCTGAGGAGGTCGTGTTCAGCCAGCCTGCTGGAGCAGGGGAAAGGTTGGTGCAGGGTGGCCCCGGGCCGAGTGCTGATGGGGCCCTGATTAAAGTCCCTTAAGTGAGGTCAGGCCCTTCAGATGCTTGCTGCCTTTGGGTACAGGCAGCGTGGTCGGGCTTTCCGGCGGTTGCTGGCACATACTCAGTACTGGCTTGGCCATGTCATGAGTGCCTCTGGGGGCTTGGCCTGGGGTCTGTGCAAGGTCAGTGTCGGGTGGCCTGGAGTGTCATAAGGAGTCTGTGGATGCCTTCCGTCTGAGAATAGAAGTAGTGAGCGGGCTCACAGGTCCCAGCAGGGAGCTCAGGTTCAGACCTGGCTTCACCTGGCCTCTCCAGGCAGAGGAGACGCAGGCTAACCTGGGCAGCACGAGGCACTTAGGACCTCCCCAGAGTGCTCAGGTGTGAGGGGTTCAGGAGTTCTTCCTAGAGGGCTGCAACAAGCAGATCTTCAGGGTGGGTCAGGCCTGCTTCTGCTCAGGGAAGGGGGACAGGTGTGGGGCCTGGCAGATACCCTGAGACCCCTGGAATGTGGCCGTGAGGGAATGCCAGCTCTGTGTTCACTTCCTTTCCACAGCATTAAAAATTAAACTTCCTTGTCTTAATATCTATTTTTAAATCTTGTCAGTGCCAGCATTGGTGTCAATCAGGAGCGGGTAGGGAGGAGGTGGGTAGAGAAGAGAAAGTCCCAGTTTAAACAGGGTAAGCGGCCCTCTCTAGTATGAGGAGAGGGCTACTGAGCCCTCTGCCCTCATCCCTGAAAAGCACAGAAGACACCCTCTGGTCTCGTCCCCAAATGGAGAGGCCTCTGCCTCCCTTGCTCCTGCCTCTATGCGCCTGCCTGGCTGCCCTTGGCTGAACCTGGTGGCAGGCTCTGTGGCCTGAGGCCTTCTGTGGCTTATCAGGGTGTTGGGGTCCCAATTGAGTCCATTCACTCATGCCACAACTATTTACTGAATGCCCGCT